CCGGGGCACGCTCCTGCCTGCAGCAGAACATTGATGGAGAAGCCTTACTGTTGGGTACACCGTCACAGTCACAGGCCCTGTGGATTGGACCGTTGTGCCCTTTTTCTGCCGGGAGCTCTGAAGCCCAGATCACAGAGTCAGATGCTAGAGAGGAGCTGTGAGGACCTTAGACACTGTCCACTTGTGGGTCACCTGCTGACAAAGGAAACACCATCCATTTCTTCTCTTTCTCCCTCTTTCTTTTGCTCAGCTTCGTCAAACTGCATCCTTCTGAGAACAGTCTGCCTTCAGACAGTTTGTGCAGGGTTGTTTGCTGTGTGTAGCTTTCTTTCCTACTGATTACTTTCTTGTCCTTGACTATACTTGGGGTATTTCCAAGGCTTATTAGGCACACCTTTTCCAACTTCTCTCCAATTGACTGTAGGCCAGGAGCTAATTCATGGATTCACAAATGTCACTCTCAGATGATGCCCTGATAATTCTGTGACTGTTATTGTACAAGAGCCTGTGCTCTGAAGCCAGCCTGCCTGGGTGGAATCCCAGCTCTGTCAAACTCATCAGCCGTGGGATCCTAGACAAGTTATTTAACGCCTTCGTTCCTGGGATTTCTCACGTGGTTGTTTTGGAAATGAACTGAAGTAGTGCATGCGACTGCTAACCCGTGCCTGGCACAGTGTAAGTACTCAATATATGTTAACTATTATTACTGCACAATCAGCTGTCATCTGTCAAGAGAGCAGGTTAGAAAGGAATAGCGTTTATGCTATGTTCATGTTTTACTTTAATTAGTATTGCTACCTCCCATGTTGTGACTGTCTGACATTTATATTTACAAACCAACCAACCAAACCCATTGCTGTTGAGTTAATTCCAGCTCATGGTCACCCTATAGGACAGAGTAGAACTGCCCCATAGGGTTTCCAGGGAGCATCTGGTGGATTTGAACTGCTGACTTTTTGGTTAGCAGCTGAGCTCTTAACCACTGCACCAGCAGGGCTCCAACATTCATATTAGGTGTAGACAAATTGTGGGTTGAGGCTTAGTGGTCAGGTAGTACGGGAGGAGCAAATAAGTGCTACCACTTCAGGCAGGAAACGCGAATCAGAGTGGTGAGTGCCTGAGAAAGCGAGGGAACACGGCCCTTTCCTATGTGCTTTATCGCGCTTTAGTGCTAGGAGGCAGTGCCTGTCTCCCTCCGGTGTGTGTACACACACACACACGCACACACACACGCACGCGCACACACACACACACATCAGGTCTCACAAGAACATTTATTGAAGGCGGTCATCTTCATATGCTGCCCATCTTTCCCAGGCCTTGCCTGGGCCCCACTTCCTGCACAGAGCCTCCTATGAAAACCCCCACCTACAGTAACTGTTTTTGAATTCCACATCCTTGATGTCTGCACTGCCCTGGTAGCCCTGACAGGTCTCCTTGTACTGTTGCTCTATAGATGAGCAATCTCTCTGTTCGGATGGAAGTCTCTTGGGGCCACAGTCTGATACTTCATCCCATTTCCTTGTGCACTGAGCACAGTACTCACAATAGTTGCTTACAGAATTGTAATGGCTGGGAAATGATGGCTCTTCCTGTGCACAAATGTATGGTTTCTGTCCTTTTAAGGGTAAGATTGAGTGTGTGAGTGTGTATAAAATACACTATATAAAATAAAGAGTAAGCTTGGGGATATCAGGTATCCCCTTCATTTGCAGAAGAAACACACTGTAGTCACCCCTCGGAGGAACTTTACAGGTAGGCTGTATTTCCCTTGCATATTTTTGGAATGGCAGCATGGTAGGATGGTGAGAGCCTAGGCTTTAGAGAGAGGCAAAAACCAAACCAAACTCATTGCTATCAAATCAATTCCGACTCATAGTGTCCCTGTAGGACCGGGTAGAACTGTCCCATAGGGTTTCCAAGGCTGTAATCTTTACCGAAACAGACTGCCACATCTTTTTCCCACGGAGCATCTGGTGGGCTTGAACTGCTGACCTTTCGGTTAGCAGCTGAGCGCTTAACCACCACACCACCAGGGCTTCTTTAGAGAGAGGCAAACCTGTGCAAATGCCATCTCTGCCCCTTAATAGCTGTGTGTCTTTAAGCAGCTCATTTAGCACCTCTGAGCCTTAGTAAGAGTCCACCTGGCAGGACTATTGTTACACTCAACCCTGGCCTTAAAGAATGCATCCCTCAAACCTAGTGAACTCCTGGATGATAATAGCTATTTAATAGGTCCCTGGTTGTTTGTTTTGTTTTGTTTTGTTTTGTTTTTTGTTTTTTCAACAAACTTTAAACCCATTGCCATCAAGTCGATTCAAGTAGAACTGCCCCACAGGGTTTCCAAGACTGTAATCTTCACAGCAGCAGACAGCCACATCATTCTCCCACAGAGCAGCTGAACCACCGACCTTTCAGTTAGCAGCCAGGCAGTTAACCATTGTGCCACCAGGGCTCCTTTAGGAGACAGGGAAAGTGACATAGTTGCGTTACTTTCATCTTGTACATCATACTTTAGTTGCCTGTGTGATAACCAGTTACCTTTGATTTCAACTCATGACGACCCCATGGAAGAATAGAACTGTGCTCTGTAGGATGTTTAATGGCTGATTTTTCAGAAGTAGATCACCAGGCCTTTCTTCTGATGCACCTGCGGGTGGATTCAGACCTCCAACTTTTTGGTTTGCAGCTGAGCACGTTAACTATTTGCACCACCTAGTCCACCAAAATCCAGCACTTGAGCCCAGCACCCAAGGATCTGTCCTGTTTACCTTTTCCTACCCAAAGCGTCCTCTCTGGCTGTACTTGGAGGACATGTGGTCTAGCACACACGTGCTCACCTGATGTTTGCCGTTCCCCTGCCCAGAATGCCCCGTATTCTTATCACCAGGCCCTGTCTGCTGTTCAGGCTTCGGTCACATTCCACCAGCTCCACCTCCTGCCCCCCCACCACATCCCACTGCAGCGACCGGGCTGCCTCTGAATTCCTGAAGTGCGCTCACTGTTCCTCACGCTCCTTGGGCACTTGCTGTGTTCATGCTTATTGTTGCTTGTTTGTGTATGCAAGATCTCTTCCCAACCACAGCAGAATCACCCTTACTTTTTAAAGGTATTATTGTGAAATAGTGTATATACAAAAAATTTAAAAATATGCAGTTTTTTAAAAAATACCCACCATCCAATGTAGAGCATAATTCTAACTCAAAAAAAAAAGACCAGATTTACTGGCCTAAAGGAGACTGGAGAAACCTCGAGAGTATGGCCCCCAGACACCCTTTTAGCTCAGTGGTGAAGTTACCTCCGAGGTTCACTGTTCAGCCTGGGAGTGGACAGCCCCGTAAAACCAAATGAGATTAACGAGGTACAGGAGTCCAGTGACAAGGGCTAGAAGGCAGAAGGGGACAAGGAAGCTGGTGATAGGGAACCCAAGGTTGAGTAAGGATATTGTTGATGTGTTGTGAGATTGTTAACCATTGTCATAGGGCGACATTTGTAGTAACAAATGAGAAACTATTTTGTTTTGTAAACCTTCATCTTAAGTGAGAATAACAGCACAATTGGAAGAGCGTAGTCAATGTCACTGAACTGTGCATGTAGAAATTTTTGAAACGGTGTATCTTTGGCTATGTGTACTTTCACCAAAAAAAAAAAGGTTGAGAAGTTAGAGGGTTAATATGTTGTGGGGTTGTTAACCAATGTCATAAAACAACATGTGTACTACTGTTACATGAGAAACTATTTGTTCTGTAAGCCTTCACCTGAAGTACAATAAAATATTTAAAAAAAAAAAAAAGATACACATACCAAAAAAAAAAAATACCCACCATCCAAGTTAATAGAACACAACCAGTACTTACAGCCCTTTTTGCCCCTTCCCAATTAGTGTTCCCTCTCCCCCAGAGCAATAGCATGAAATTGATCATTTAGTTTTCTGTTCTTTAACCAATACTTTTGCTTTACCTGTTTTTGACATTTATATAAGTGTAATAATACATATATATTTTCATTCTGTTCCTTTTTTTCAACATGAAGGTTTTTTAAAATTCATCCGTGTGGCCACATGATGCATGTAGCTCTGATTCGTTTTCACTGCTATGTTGTAATCCCAGCCATGGTGTGATGAGAACACACCAGAAGTTGTTTGTCCATGAAAGAAAACAGAATGGAGAAGTAACTCTAAGATCTCAGTGGCATTCAGCACTAAGCATGTATTTCTTGCTCGTGTGTTGGTGGGTCTGCTGGGATAGCTCTGATGGTCCCAGCTGGGTTTGAAGCCAAGCCATGGGTTTAGTCCACTTCTGTGCCGTGGGTCTCAGTCTTCTGGAACCAGCAGGCTACGTAGGACACATTCTTCTGCAAGCAGAAGTTGCAGCTTCTCAAAGGTGAACAAAAACAAGCAATGCTTCATTAAAACACACTATCACTTCTGCCCACATTCGATTGGCTAACACAAGTCCTGTGACCATGGTGAGCATCAGGGAGGGGGGACGTATACTCCCATGCGAGGTTGGGAGAAGGAGTGGACACTTGCTGAACACTAACATAACCCATGAACATTCGGGTTGTTTGCACTTAATGACTCTTTCCAGCAATACTGCTGCTGAGAGCAATGGATTATATGTGGAAGTTTCTTTAGACCAGATGCCAGGCAGCTGAGCTTCTGGGTGGAACACCACTATTTTCTCCTTTACTAGGTAATACCAAACCGTTTTCCAGGTGGTTGTATTTTTCCTGTCAGCAATGGATTGGCGTTTTGTTTGTTGCACTGAACCACTACATTTTTTTTAATTCCCTAGTGTTTATAACACTGAGTTGACCTCAGATATTGCCATTGTCCAATGATTAGCAAGGTATCTGTCTCACAGTTTCTCAGTGAGGCCAGTTTCTTTTCTAATCAGTTCTGCAGATGGACGGTGCCCTATTAAAGCGACATAACAAAGTGCTCCTTATCTTTCTGACGGTGCTCGGTGTGCACTAACCAACTTGTGTTCACTCGGCAGGTTCGGTGCAAATGCCAAAGTCGTGCATTTCCTGGGACAAACCAAACCGTGGAATTACACTTACGATCCCAAAACAAAAAGCATGAAAATTGATGCCCATGACCCTGCCATGATTCATCCAGAGTTTCTCAACACATGGTGGGACATCTTCACCACCAGCGTTTTACCTCTGCTTCAACAAAGTGGCCTTGTCAAAGAAACCGCCTCATACCTAAAGGTGGTAGGTTCTGTTTTTTTCTTCCGGATAATTTTATGCTGTGGTTTGTTCTTTTTTTTTTTTTTTTGTAACTTGATATATCAGTAGAGATGGGGAATGTTTAGTGGTATTTTAAACAGAGATAAGTTTTTGTGGAAGGAAAACAATGGCCAACTTAGAAAGGAGAAATACTATCAGCCAAAACTGAAGTAGAGTAGGTTCTGTGGCACATTTCATGGGCTCTGAGAACATAAGGACGGTTTGGGGAGTTTTTTATATACATACATTATCTTTTAACTATAAAATTCTTAGCCTGGTGCCTATGAAAAGATTGAGATTATTCCTAAAGTAGTAGTCTATAAAAATGAAGGATGCCCCATTTCATGTTTTAGAAAAGGCAAATATTTAAATATCCCTGTTTTATATTTGCCATCTGCTTAGAAGAATGAGTTTGCAGTAAAAGTCACAATAACATGAACATAAAACAAATACTTTTCTAGGATTATTTTGCTTTCCTATGTTTATACTCCTGTGGTTATTACAGGATCCTGGAAAAGGAGTCTCTTTGTCAGAGGGAAATGTTGGCATTTAAAATAACAACCTGCTTTAGCATCTTTTCTGACTAAGGGTCCTCTTTTGCAGTTTTCTAAACTTTAGAAGGAGTTGGAAGAAAATGAAGAATTAAACTGTTACGTTATATGTGACAATATAAAGAATAGAAATGAATGAAATGTAACGCAGTCTAACTGATGAGTTAATTATCTGGCTATAAGAGATTATAAGGTCTTAAGAGAGCATTCTCTTTTCAGTGGTATAAATTTTAGGCACTTATTAGCATTTGCATCCAAATATAGTGTTTTATAGGATTATGAAAGAATACTTGTACAGCACTTGGAACAGTGCTTGGCATATAAATAAAAAACAAAACAAAACCCATTGCCATGGAGTCGATTCTGATGCATAGCTACCCTATAGGACAGAGTAGAGCTGCCCCATAGTATTTCCAAGGCTGTAATCTTTATGGAGGGAGCCCCTGGTGGTACAGTGGTTAAGCACTCAGCTGTCAACCAAAAGGTCAGGACTTTGAACCCACCAGCCGCGCCATGGGACCAAGATGTGGCAGTTTGCTCCTGTAAAGATTACAGCCTTGGAAACCCTATGGAGCAGTTCTGCTCTGACCTACTGGGTCGCTATGAGTGGGAATTGACTTGATGGCAGTGGGTTTGGTTTTTTTTTGGTGGGGGGGATCTTAATGGAAGCAGACAAATTAACTGAGGCTTAAAGAACTTAACAGGAATTTCTTTAGTTTTGTCACAGACTGGTCAGGTCTGAGAGACTTATCTTTGTGAAAAATGTGAGATGGACCTTGTTTAACGTATTTCTCTACAGCTCAGAATTAAATATAGCACTTTCTGAAGTGGCAGGAAGAATTTTCCTCAGTTAGATACAGCACACTTGGCCTGACCTCTCGGGCTTCTCTCCTGGGAAAGGTCCCTGCCCCCAGATTATGAGCAGAGGGGTCTGGAAGAGCCCCCCGCGCCGCCCCATTCCTGCTGCACGTGGAAGGCAAAGGCAGGACTTCTTACGCGGCCTTTAGCTATAATACAGTCCCACAGAATCTGCCCACGTACCTGGAATTCCAGTATATTTAAATATATACATATACACCTATATTTAATTACATATAACAACAAAAACAGGTGATCAGTAACTTTTTTTCCTGAGGTAACACATTCCCTCTGTTAACAGCAATGCCCGTATGTACTGTTGTGCCTTCCTCTTTCGCTAAGATTTCCAGTACCTTCTCACCACAGAGCCTTTTAAAGGATAGCACTGGTATTCTTTTATGGTACCTTTGAAGTTACTGCTAATCCTATACATAATGAGAATCACATTTAATGTAGAGTAGGTTTGTTCTGTTTCCTGCACGTTTACGCTGTTCCTTCTGCAATCCAAGGACTGAGAAATATGAACCAAGGAAAGGTGAAGATGGGAATTGAAACAGTTGATCAAAACTAAGCAGATTAAATTAACAGAAGCTACAAGAATAGATACTACTCCGTAATCCACATGAGAGACTGACCAGGCAGATGAGTTTGGTACATAGTCTGAAACCACGTAGTTTTCATTCTTACTATGTGGCAACTTGTGTATGTGGTGTGGCTCTCTGGTTCTTTCTGAAGCTCAGCCTCTGAGGTATCGTTTTGTTTAAGTTCTCAACCTTTCCGAGCCCACACAGATCGAGAATTTATCGTGAGACTTGTGTTTCCTTCTCCATCCATCTTACCCTTTCTAATGAACTGTTTGCAGCTTTCAGACTTGGTCTATACACTGGCTTTCTCTTGTGGCTTCTGTAGAAAGGTATGCAGAACTTAAACATTAACCCTAATCTGTTCTCCCAATGTTTTCACTGAGTCAAGAAGTCTTCATTTTGTTAGGAAAAAACCATACAACCCTTGTATTTTCGTGTCTTTTGTTCGTTCGTTTCGTGTAATACTTCTCAGTTTTTGCTACTTTGCATGATAATCCATCCTGGCTTTTCTCACCTTCTTCAATTTATTGCATTCTTTAAACCAGTTTTACTTTCAGCTCTCAAGGACTCTGATATGCTCTCCTTCTAGGAAGAGGTCTCAGGAGACGTGTCACATCTGTCCCTAGGGGAGACCCCAGCTGCGGCACAGCCTTTTGTATCCTCAGAAGAACGGAAGGAGCGGTGGGAACAGGGCCAGGCCGATTACATGGGAGCAGATTCCTTTGACAACATCCAGAAGAAACTTGACACTTACCTCCAGTAGAGACACTGCTGTCTTCCTGTGAACACACCCGCTTCACAGGCTCTTGTTTCTGACAATTAGTATCTGGAACTGGGCTGAGGAAGGTCTGTTACAGTTGCTAGAGGCTTTCACCAAGACTCCATCAGATGAGGGGGTTTTGCAGGACAGCAGGTGAGAACTGGGCAAAAGTTGTGAAGTAGCTATTCTGTTATGTGGACAGTGTTCCGCTTTTCAAACCTAAACATATGCAGCTACCGTTGCAGAAGTGCTCGATGCCGATTGCCAATATACGTGGTAAGGGAAACTCAACATTAAGCGATTAAGTTGGCCATATCAATCTTTAAAATGTGCAGAGCCAGGCTCCCAGTCTGTCTCCCTTCAGAATGGGGACATAGCATCTGTCCCTTGCTTGCTCGTTGTACCCTTCACTAGAGCTGCATTTTAGAATTGCCTGGAGGCTGCCAGAGATTGTAATTCCTTCAGGTAAAGGCAGCCTGTAACACTGCTGAGTGATTCATAAACACAGCACCAGATGGAGTTAACCCATTTTATTGCCTAGTCTTAGTGTATGAAGACGTTCACCAGTTTTCCATGTACAGCAGGCAGCATGCTAAAATGCTTTTGTTCAGTTCTGCATTATAGCAGTGTGTTCTCTGAATGGTTACCTGCATTGGAACCCTATATGAAAAATAAAGACTTATTGCCATATCTTGGTTGTCTAATTAAGAAAGTCCCCCACCCCGCAAAGAAAAGGTTATTAGGGAGTTTTTCACAACTTGAGAATTCTGTCATTGTTTTCGAATTCACTGTAAGGTTTAATCCTGGGATATATGCTTTAAAAATATCTACCAAAAAAACCAAGCCCGTTGCCATCAAGTTGATCCCAACTCATAGCGACCTTATCGGATAGAGGAGAACTGCCCTATGGGTTTTCCAAGGAGAGGCTGGTGGATTCAAACTGCCGACCTTTTGGTTAATAGCTGAGCTCTTAACTCCTGCACCACCAGGGCTCCAAACATACCTAAGAAATGTGTAAATCTAGTGTTCTCTAGTGATGGTGACGGATCTGACAGATGGAGCAAAGTGAGATCAGATTTATCTAGTCTGTCATCTTCATTGCCTCTCCATGTTGAGTACTCAGATATTTATCCTGTTGGAACCTTCCAAGTACTGTAACCTGAAAATCATCATAGGCTCATTGTTCATCTCTGAACGTACTCGATAGTCTTTCAAGGCACTGGTATCAGTATTGGACCCACTGCCTTCTCACGTTTTCTATCCATGACTTAAAATGACAGAATGGAAACAGAAAGCATATTTATTAAATTTACAGATGATTCTAGGTTGCGAGGGCCGGCAAGCTAGGAAGGGGTAGGATCCAGAATTACCTTTTAAAACTAAATTGAGTAATCAGAAACAAATCATTCTATTAAAGAAAGCAGGAGAGTGGACAATATGGGTATACAGACACAGGAAACTTTAGAGGTTTAATTGGGCAGAAGGCCCAATGGCTTTTATGACCTAGCCTTGGAGGTCACGGGCCTTCATTTCTACAGTAATACCTTATGGGTTACACGGGTCAGCCCTCAGTGTGGGTGTGAATGAATATGCAAGAGGCATGGATACCTAGAGCAAGAATCATTGGGGCCACCTTGGAGGGTGGCTACCACAAAAGCTCAAGATGAACATTTGGCTAAAATTGTAAAATACTAAATGGCAAATGATTTCTGAAGATGAAACCACAATTATTTGGACCGGCAGAAGTGAGTTGCTATAATCTTCAAGTATACGAAGCATTTGCTAAACAAGCATTTATGAAGTGCCTCCATGTGTCAGGTGCTGTAATACAAAGACGTCTCAGATTACTCCCAAGGATACCTGCAGTGGGTGGTTATGAGCTAAACTCTTCCAATGAGAATCAAATCCATAGAAAAATCTAACTCAACAGAAATTTCATCACAGTGTAATTTGTAAATCATACAAATGAGCCTTTGACTCTGGACATCTATCTGTAATTTCAAAGTTCATTCTAGCCCTTTGTTACCTTCACAACCCCAGTGGTCATAAAGCAATCTGTCTGGTTTGAAGAAAATATGCCATGAGTCAGGGTCAACTCCATGGCAATTGGTTTTATTCCAGAAATAACATCTACCAAAATATTTATTTAATCATCATAGTTTCACATCATACACAATTTGAGTTGACATACATTTAAGGTAGACAACACTAAATAAAATTCAAGTTCTTACTGAATATGGTGTCACACATGTGATACATATTAGGAATACAGACTTGTATAAAACTTAGTGTCATATTCTAGTAGGAGACACAAGAACAAATTACAAATTATGCTAAACGAAGTACACTGACAGCATTAACAGGGACAGTCTAATCATATGGTGGCCAACAAGGACCTCCGTACGATGCCATTTAAGCTAGAAAGAGGCTCTGAGAGGGAGCCAGCTGATGGGGAGGGGAAGGGAGAATATTCCTAGCAGAAGGATCTGTGCGAGCAAAGGCCCTAGAGCAGGCAAGAACTTGGTAGATGTAAAGGATTCCAAGACATAGGATGAAGTGGTTTCGTAGGCCATGGCATAGACTTTGGATTTTATTCTAAATTCTGTGGCAGTCGATTGAAGAGTTTTATTTATCTACTTTTTATTAATGGGCAATTATAAACATAACCCAAAAGCAAGCGGAATAGTATAAAGAACCCAGCTTCAACAGCTATGTCTCATCTATACTCTCACCTGCCAGATTATTTTGAAGCAATTTCATCTGTAAATATTTCTATATATAGATCTTTAAAAAGTAAGAAAGGCCAAAATATTCATTCCAAACTTCCTCTAGTATCGTTTTTCTTCCCCCGATTTGTTAGTTTGAATCAGAATCCGAGTAAGGTGCAGGCAGTGCCGTTGGCTGATACATCTGTGATACACTCTAGTTTTCTTACTCCTGTCCCTCTTGTTGTTGTTATTGCAGTTTGTTTATTGGAGAAACCAGATCATTTCTGCCGCAGAATCTCCCTTGTTCTGCATCTTGCTGGTTGCTACAATTTGACGTGTTCCCCTGTCTTCTGTATTTGCTGTAAACTGATCTAGAGGACTTGATCCAATTTGGCAACTTTATAGTCATGTTGAGTACCCCAGAATCTCTGGTTATCTCAGATCATCATGGATGATTATTGCCTAGCTATATTATTAGGAGTTGCAAAAGGGTGATGACTGACAGTAGGTGAGATATTTTTGTAGACTCCCATTCATCAATAATTTGGTTACCCTGAGGTTCAGTTCCTGTAGGAGGGCAGGATGAACAAATGGCTTGGTTCTTTCACTAGTATACAAAATAAGGAGTTGGTTTCCTAACATCCAAAGGTAACTAGGAGGGTTTTGGAGGGGTTTTAGTATCTTTATGAATTAATGGATTTTAAGTTTCAATCTGCTGAAGTTATTCTTAAAGATGATCTAATTGTCCTAACTTTGTGATTTACATTTTAAGAACAACGCTTTTGCCGCTGTGTAGAAAATCGTCTGAATGAGGTTAAGAGTAGATGGGAAGGCCAGTTTAGCTTCCTGCAGCAGTCCTGGAGAGAGACCCAACTGAGTCTCCCACCTGACTGCTCCTGAAAACACCAGACTTGTTAAAAATAGTTTCTTGGGCCTCATCCACAGACATTCTGATCCAGTAGGTCTAGGTTGGAACCATAGTATCTCCACTCCAACTATCAAGCACTCCAAATGACTTTGACCCAAATGATACCTGAGAACCACCTGATACATTATTTACACTAAATACAACAGGGGTCAGGTGATTTGTAACAGATGGCAAATAAAGAGGTGAGGTAGTTGTTACATGGTAGGGAACTCAACTTCTAATTAGATTTTCCAAAAGCATCTCAGCTCCTTGAGAGATGTAGGAAACATTAACTTAAGTAACATCTACAAATATAAAAATCATTGTGTGATGTTTTTGTTATCCATCCTCAAGTCAGCCCCTGACTCATGGCAGCCCCATGCACAATACAACACTGCCTGGTCCTGCGCCAAACCCATGATTGGTTGGGATGGGACCATGATGATCCACAGGATTTATTGGCTAATTTTTGGAAGTAGCTCACCAAGCCTTTCTTCCTAGTCTGTCTTAGTCTGGAAGCTCCACAGAAACCTGTATAGCAATATAGCAACAAGAAGGCCTCCACTGACGGATGGTGGCTGCACATGAGGTGTATTGGCCGGTCTCCCGCATGGACAGCGAGAATTCTACCAGAGAACCACCAGTGTGTAGTGTTAACCTTTTAAATGTCACTGAGATTTCAGTTATTTAGCTAAGGAAGACTTAACTTGGCTTCTCAAATAGGGATTCTGTGAAATGTCATATGCTATGGATTAACCCAAAAATGTGTGTTGTAAATCCCACTATACCTGTGGTTGTAATCCCATTTGGGAAGGTTCTGTTACGTTAATGAAGCAGTATTAGTGTAGGTTGTGTTTTAAGTCAGTCTCTTGAGATATACAAGATTAGGCACAGAGAAGCAAGCACAGATGGGAGAAGATAGATGTCACACCATGTGAGATCTCCGAGGAACCAAGAAACTGAAGCTGAAAAGAGAGGCTCTTCCCCCAGAGCCAACAGAGAGAGAAAGCCTCTTCTAGACCCGGAGTCCTGAATTGGGACTTGGTAGCCTTCTAAACTGTGAAAAAATAAATTTGTTAAAGCCACTCACTTGTGGTATTTCTGTTAGAGCAGCACCAGGTAACTAAGACACCATGGTCTGCTTTTTACTGTACTGATTATTCCAAGTACAAAAAGGTACTAGAATCCATTTTTAGATTTAGATAACTTATTTGATAACTTACTAAGTTTCATATGCTGAAATTCAGTATCCTTTAAGGAAGAGCAATGTGGAATAAAGCAAAAAGAAGACAGTATTAGGTATTTATGTCTCAATTCTCTTATCAATTCTATGATGTATGGATAGTATCCCCATTTTGCAGATAAAGAAATCAGAGGATAGAAAGGTATCCTTGCAAAAGGTCACATAGTAATTTCAAATTCTTCTCTCACTCCAGTGCATACTCTCTCTGCATTAAAGAAACCTATGGTCAAAACAATGTTTAGGGAAAAAAAGCAGAGATCAGAGAAACCTGTTTATTGCCAGAAATCTGTGCAGTGACACGTTTAATAAGGAAAAAGCTTTCATTTTGTTTACTATGAAGGTAAGCCTTGAAACAGGGCTTACAAAACACCTTCTGCGAAGGCTTTCCCAAATAGGTTGTCTGAAATTGTAACGTAAAAAATAAAGGGGTAAGAAAGTCCAAGGATGTTTAGTTGTGAATTTCGACTCGGACAAGACTCAGCTTTAAAATGAAGACTTTCTTACAACCTATATAGAATTATTCTGTTTTCACAGTTGTTTTATTGGCCCCAAAGAGGTAAAATTTCTCTCCTACGACTATACTGTGATACTGTGTTGTCCTCAGGGGCCCTGGGTTTTGCAGGGCTCCCTACCCTACACTGACCAGCTCAGCACGTGTGATCTACTCTATCTTTATTCACTTTTAATTTTGTGAGGTTTCTTTCTCGATGCCAAGCCTGTCCACTATCAGTTCTCCTACTGGAAGTATGTTTGCCTAGAACAGGAATAGGAAAAGAGTTAAATGTTCAATAATAGGGCCATTGAATGTTAGTGCTTTTCTATTGTATCAAGTGTATCAGTTCACTGAAGACTATTACTTTGCTGGTCAGAAAACTTTTTTGCTTCTGGGTCCCTGGCTGAGGCGAACAAAAACCTAGTCTTCAGATAAATACCACTGCCTTATTGCTGTAGTCATGCAATAGGCAATCCAAGTAATTAAGTGTATTTTGGAACTCTGCATCTGTATCAGAAGAGATCACAAGATTCAAAGCTTTTTTTTTTTTTTTTAATAATTGAGAAATGATGTAAGAGCACCAAATTTGGTGGGGGGGGGAGTCACACATTATTGTATCTATTAATTTTTGTTTACTATCTTTTGTTCCCTATTTTTTACACAATAGCATAACAAATAAAGCTCTGAGTGAAAAAGCTTACATAATTTCTGAAGTATTTAGTAAAGACTATTAACTTTGGAAACACTGGTGGCGTAGCGGTTAAGAGCTACGGCTGCTAACTAAAAGGTCAGCAGTTCAAATCCACCAGGCGTTCCTTAGAAACCCTATGGGGCAGTTCTACTCTGTCCTTCAGGGTTGCTGTGAGTTGGAACTGACTCAACAGGAAAAGGTTTGTTTTTTTTATTAACTTTAGGAATCAGACAAGTTTGCCATAGAAGATAGTATATAAGGTACAGGAAGGTGTCAAGTTTTGAGGCTAGGAAGTCACTGCACTAGGCTAACAGCTTTCTTTTCCTTCCCTGACTTTCCAAGGATATGCCTTAATTAAGGTGAAGTATTTACTTTTCCATTCAAAGGCACACCATTATACTGCAGAATATTTTCTAGGGAGCCTAAAATACCGAGAGTAAGATGTTTAAATACGCAGCAACTCAAATTACAAGAACATACTTTTGTAGAGGTGCTCGACACGTTTACTTTTTTACCTCTTGTGACCAATGGTGGGTATAATATAGCCTTCAGCTGAGACAAACTTAACCACACCAAGGTCAAATCCATGCCTTTGGGGATTAGCTCCATGCTTGGTCAAGGTCTACAGTTCATGTATAAAGTGAACGTTTAAGTCTCCTTACCTACAGCTTACAACTGCAAGAAGCATATTAAATCTCCTTCACAAGACCATTTTCTCATGAAATATTTACCTTTATCAATATATTGATACCAGTACAAAATTTTTAAAAACCTACAATGTATTATTAAGGAATAACCCTCTCCTCCCCCTCAAGAAAAAGGATAAATTAAGGATTCAGGAAGCCGTATCCTGGTTAATTTTACCTGCCTTTATATTTTTAATAAATGGGCATGTTGAAAAGACTTTCAACAATGAAAACTTCACTAAAACGTTAAGTCACTGCCTTAGTAAATAGAGCACAGATTTAACAATATATCGTTTTTACAACTTGTATTATCACTTCTCATCAGATTAAATACTCTCTTGAAACAGCTGACTGGGTTTCAAGTATGTAAAGACATGCCCTAGAATTTGTGTTTTATCACTAAGAAATCATTTTGACATTTGCCATCCTTCTAAATGAAATCCCAGAGTAGTGTAGTTATCTTAAAAGTCTTGGATACTTGGTTCAGGTTAATGGAGGTGACCTGTACAACCTCCAATATACATGAAATTGTATGTTATTAGAATTATATTCCCTTTTCATGCAGAAGTCAATTTTCATATTTAAAAGTAGAAATCAGGAAAAATTTATCAGGAAAAAAAAGTGTTGAGCAGGAAAGCTGAGTATGGAGCTGGAAAAAAGGTAAGAAATCTCTCATTTTAACTAGTAAATGATCTGATTGGGAATTATAAATCATTTATCCTTCTGAAAGGAGTAAATTATTAGTAACTTAGCTGTCAAAAAAAAATGTTACCCAAATATGCATTGTCTTTCTCCATTTTTAGCATTAAGGGTTCATATAAAAGACTTCTGTCCTTTATTATTACCATGCAGTAAGTATAAATATATTAACATGGGAGAAAATGTGTCTGCTGACAACAGAAAATGTCCCCTTTGAAGGTTGGCATTACTGCAAGGAAGCATCCCAATTATTATTCACAGCTATCGGTATTACTGGCTTTTTTTATTCAGGGGAAAAAAAAAACCAAACCCCTTGCAATGAGTGATTCTCACTCAAGTACGATACAAATGAGGTATCAAATTGCAGAAATCTAGAACTTGTAAAGCAGGTGACAGTGCAAACATACCTACATACTTAATGAATGAAATGGAGAAAGTTATTCTCTGTTGGATTATACCTTTTGCAAATATTTTAAAGTTAATGTAGCTAAAAACTTAAAGGTTAGTTAAACATTCGAGTTCTTTTTAATGAGGTAAACAAAATTTGCCCACCTGTTTTTAATGGCTGTCATCCAAAATCTAATAAATGAAACTTTGGCAAGTACAGTAAATAAAATGAATAAAACATACACCAATGTCTGACATCCCCCGACAGAAAACATACACTGCCTGAGGATAATTTCACTGGTACTCACTATAGGGTCGCTATGAGTCGGAATCGACTAGATGGCAACGGGTTTTTTTGTTTGTTTTTTTTTGTAACAAACTGCTTAGGAGTTTTTCTTGGTTGACTATTTCCCATCCAAGAGCTGGAATTAGAGAAAAATCTACAATGATCCAAAGTGTTATGTATTAATACCACTATACGTAGATATCATCACAACTCCTTTACTGCAGGTAAGGGAATAATAATAACCCGAGACAAGGTTTTTGAATTTTTGAAGATCAAGGCATTTAAAATAAACTTTCAAAATTTATATACTCTGATTTCTGACCAAGAAAGTCACAGTTAAATTGAGCAAAATAAAAAAAGGTGGTAGGAATGTAAGTTACTCAGTTAATCACAGTACTTTAGTAAAAAGTAATTATGTAAAACAGACATCTTCACAGAAGTACGATATTTAATGAAAGATTTTTTTAAAATAGTCATTAAAATTATGGGACTGAATAAAATTTCTGAAGTTTTTATTGATTTTAAATTTAAAACAAAATCCAGTTTGAACCACAAAATTCAGTTTGAACCACAAGTGTGAATACAATATCTTCAATATATTTCTAAAACTATTAGTCTACTCAATAATGAAACAGAATTAACAGCATAGCATAATGTGAAGTTTTCATTCCAGTAGTTTATATATTTTCTTACAATTTAAAAAAAAAACACCATTTAACAGAACTATACAAAAAAAACAAAAAGGCATTTTTAAAATGACTTGCCAAACTTACATTTAAAAGCATAACTCTGCAAATGTTTGGGTAAAGAAGCAAGTCAAGTCTTTACCTTTACAGTAAGTTTTTGAGGCTTTGCCTTTTTAAGCAAGAAGACTGTCATTTTGTGCTGAAAACTCTAACTTAATCCCACTGGATTATTAATATATAGAAAATCCACATTTCCATATTTCGTGATATCCAGATCAACCTGATTTTCTTCTGTCATGCAGGTTGGGACCTATATTCATTGTATAAGTTGAGTACTCCCAGAAGGTAAAGCACTTCCCTACTGCTCCTAATGCTAGCGGACCAACCCCAAGTTATTATCCCACCCTTACAACTGCAGAGAGATGTCCTGGTCCTTTTTCATCAGCATCCCCTTAAGATGCTGCCACTGAGAAAAGGGAGAGCTAACCCACTGTTCCCTTGGAACAAGAGACAGGGCACAGAGAAGGGAGGACTTGGCCAGTGACAGACCTAACACATACCTTAGGTGTGTCCCACACAACACAAGGCCGCCTCCAACCCTCTCTATTTCCAGCCAGGTCCCTTCTAACAGTGTAAGTAAAATCTAAAGCGTTCTTAAGTCTACATCGTCAAGCACGAGACTTCTCGTTACAGGAAGTAATCTCTTCTTTCTTTGGATTAAAAAAAAAAAAAAGTTTCCCTTAAGGAAATACCACCATTGACTACCTAACCTGATCATTAAACTTATTATCTTGTTTGTTTTAAATATGACTCAAGGAGTCATGAAGAATTCTGTGGCAACTACTATGAATTTGCTTATTAACAAAAAGTAAGAAAAAGATGATTAATTCTGTAGGTAGATGTAAGGATGAATTATTTAAATTCCAAAACCAAATTCTCATTCTAAACACACAAATTTTTACATTCAGGTTTAAGATGCCTTTAAGGGCTGCAATGACCTTGCAGGTCATCCAGCCCAGCTTCCATCCAGGTATCATACCTCCCACATACAGTAGTCTTCTGAATTATAAAACTTTATAAAGATATTTCCCAAAAAACCTACATAAATAAAAATTATCTATTTATAGAAATATCTATTTAGCAATGCATAATTTACATTTTCAAATCAAACTGGGTAGAACTGGTTTTCTCCCACATCCACAGACTGTATTTACACCTTAAACATCAAGTTACATTTAAACAATGACTACAGTACCACCTGACTAACATGGAGAAAATAGCGCTACTAACACAGTCTTTAATTTTTTCATGAACATGAAATTACAAGCAACTTGCTAACCTGGACTTTGGTCTCTTATAGAAGGTTTGGTTCCGGAGTGCGAATATGGTTTTTGAAAGGCCAATAAAATCAATCTCTTGAATAGTCAATGTATATATTAATCATTTACAAGGACGGGGAATCCACTGCATCACAAATGGGAGGCTTTGGTCAGTAACCACACGTGCCCAACGTAGAAAATAACTTCTTTACTTGGTCAAAAGTATAAAAGATTTGACCTCATTTGAAATACGAAAAAGCTGAGTATTTGGGAGATATATGAAAATACTCAGCATACCTACTATGAAAAGTGGAATAACAAAGTAATTTTTTTTCCTCAAAAAATTATCTTAGGCCACAGTATAGAACGGAACTTATTGCTATTTGAAGTATCACTAAAAATAGAATCATGTACAGAAGAGATTGTGTCAAGAATACCTCTTCCCAAATATAAAATATGCCCCTTGCAGAAGACATACTCTCTAGGCCTCATTTCTAGAACTCTGCATTTATCTCATTTCCAAAACTTCTGTATGTACATCCAAACTGACCTGACTAAAACTTCACAAGTTATAAATCAATTAAAGTTTTGATTTCGTTAATTTTAGCTTGTTTCATGTCATTAGCATTTGGTTTTTTAGTTCCAAAAGCTCCAGCTGCAAGTTCTCTCTTTGTGTTTTGTATTTTCAGCATATTTTCTTCAACAGAGTCCTTTACAATGAACTTTAAAAGAAAAAAAAAAGGGTTAAACAGGTTAAGTACTTTTTAGGTCATTATTTAAAATCTTCAATGGAAAAAAAAAAACACTACTAAGAAAACTACATCAACTATTATTGAGACACATGAAGAATAAATATGCTAACACCACTGTCTACTAAAAAAAAAGAAAAAATCTTTGAGACATGATGAGAACAATGGTCTACTATAAAGGCATTTTTTTTCTTACAAATATTACATAGCTTTCAAGAATGTATAATAATAACCTATTAGAAACTGGTTTAGCACCTTTTTTCTCATTATAATGAAAATATTCAGATTAATTATGTCTGAACATTGCTTTCCTTTATCACTCTACATGATTTTTCTATATAAAGAATATGGCCTTAGCAACAAAAGTTACATCTCCTAACTCCATCATACCAGAAAAGAACAGCACAAAAGAAGAAAACTATTTAGGTAACTATGAGTTACAAAGATAAATGCAAAACTGAAACTAGAATTATTAGTAAAATGAATTTAGGACTTTATTTAAAAAAAAAAAAAAAAAAAACAATTTTTCCAGGAATGCAACAATGAGTTATTATCCAGTATAATTCATAACATTAACAAATTAAAGAGGAAAAGAACACATGATCACCTCAACAGATGCCTAAAAAATACTGACAAAATTCAACATTTATTCCTGATTAAAAAAAAAAAAAACCTTGATAAAAACCCTCATTAAGTCAGGAATTTAAAAAATATCCTCAACCTTATTAAGGGCATATACCAGCTACCTAAGAAAAACATCCTTAATGTTAAACAATAAAAATGTTCTCAATAAAAATAGGAATGAGTCAAAAATGATTGCTATTACTACTATTCAACACTGCATAGAGATCCTACTTACTGCAGTAATTAAAAACAAAGAAGCTGTTATACAGCTTTACTGACATAGATAAAAAATATATAATGGGAGAGAGATACTATCAATGTTCCTGGATAGGATGCTCCTTATTTATAAGGAAGTCAGTTCTCAAATTAGTCATAAATTCAATACAAGTACAAATTCCAAACAACATTTTCAATAAAGTTCAATGTAAGAGTAAATAATAACTGATACAATTTTCAAAAAGAAAGGTAATCAGAGCACCCTGTCCTACCCGATATCAAAACATACTTTATAAAAGTATAGTTATTATAAGAATATTGTCCTAGAAATAGGAAGAGATCTAAGGAACAGAACAAAGTCCATAAAGAGACCTGTGTAATACATACGAAAACACATGAAATAGTTCATGACTGTAGGACATTTCAAATCAGTGGGGAAAATGATGGAATTTTCAAAAAAACGGTGATGGAACAAATGACTCTTCATTTGAAAAAAGAATAAAGACTTATACCCACATATCACTAACCGTAAACAAAATACAAAATAAAATCCTCCAAAAAAATTAGAAGTATAGGAGAATAGTTTTACAAATTTGGAGAAAGCCTTCTTGTCCTAATCAAGACCATAAAATCCAGAAGCTAGAATGAAAAAAGTTGGTATTTTTTAAATCAAAAATTTTTAAACTTTTTCATGACAAAAAGCAGATAAAGTTCAAAAATAAGCAAGAGACTGGGATAAATCATTTCAATGGATAAAAAGGTTGCTTTATACTACAAAACTACATTGTACCATAACCATAGTTTATACTGTTAACTATGAAAACTAGGTAAAAGGTACAAAAGGAAACCACAGAAGAAATATTAATGGACAATAAATATGTGAAATATGCTCAAGGTCACAAATAATTAGGCAGATGCAAATAGAATGGAACTCTCCTGACCACCACCTAAACGTCGGTTTACAGCATTCTCATATACCATTAAGCCTGTTTTGAAAGCAACCTGGCAGTCAGTCATCTAATAAAAATTATAAATCCAGAATTCTAGCTTTCTTAATCTACGTAGCTGTATATGCACAACGTATGTACAATAAATCTTATTATGACACCGTTTGCATTAGCAAAAAATTGGACTGGTTAAAGAAATTATGATGTATCTATATTATGAAACATCATGCGGTTAAAAAGAATGAGTGTGACCTAAATGTACAAATACCGAGAAGTTTCCAGCACATATTGTCAACAAACAAAAACATTCTGCAGAATAATAAAGTATGATCAATTTATCTTTGAAAGAAATTTTTTTAAGGAGATATATATATAAATGTGACAGTATGTAAATATTCAGTAAGGGATCTTGAAGTATATATATTAAACTACTAATGGTGGTTGCCTCGTATTTTGCTCTGTATAATTCTATTTTAATCTTTTACAATAATATATTCAAACATTATTTGTGTAATTATGACAAAAAAAAACATTTCAGCCTAATCTTTAAATAAATGGTTGACAAACTCACTTTTGTGATGATAACTTCTTGTTTCTGGCCAAGTCTATGGCATCTGTCAAAGCACTGGTCTTCAGCAGCAGGATTCCAGGCCTGACAAGAAGGAGAGTTACTCTGTTACTGTCCTGGTCTGTCTGCGTAAGGCCTTTCATTTCAGTATCACTCATTAACCTTTTTCTGACTGACATTACAAATGCACTGAAAACAAATACTGTCCCTCCCACTGCCATCACTACTATGACAGGCAGGCATTCTCATTGCCGCCACTGCACTCCATGGCTTCTAGTATGTAGTCAAGGGCCCCACACATAGTAAGCATCCAACATAAATATTTGTCATTAATTTCTTTCTGCTTTGTGGTTTTTATCATTGTAAAGTGATCTGTGTCTGCTTAAAGAAAAAAAAAAAAAGGTCACCCATCCTGTTAGATGATTTAATTTACATCAGAAAAGATACCCAATTCTTTGGCCCATTTATAAAAAGTTTTCTCTGCTTTGGTTCTTTTTTCTTTTACTGTCTTCCATTCATGAAATAAAACTATAAAACAAGGTTTCAGGAGTAAAGTCCTAAAAATTATTTTAAGACTTTTTTGATACAATTTTCTATATCTGTATTTGAAATCAGCTTGACTTCAAAAATTGATCTAAAAAAGTAACATTAGTAAATTAAGCTTTTTCATCATGAAACTGTCTTGACTTCAAGAATAAGATGATGAATCAACAAAAGAGGTAGAATAATCAAAAAGATACAGAGTTCTTCAATCTAGAAAGACAGCAGTTAAGTAGTTTTTAGTAATATCATAAATTGTCTAGATGTTGCTGTGTGCCAGCAAGTTGAGTCAATTCTGACTCACAGGGACTGTAGGACAGAGTAGAACTGCTCCATAGGTTTCCGAGGCTGTAATCTTTACGGGAACAGATCTTCAGGTCCTTTCTCCCTCAGAGTGGCTGGTGGGTTCAAACAGCTGACCTTTCGGTTTGCAGCCAAGCACTTAACCATTGTGCCACCAGGGCTCCTACTGTCTGGATAGCATGATTAATTATTCCCTACACAACAGCTTAAAAAATGAACAAAATCATGGCTGCATATGTAAATGACATGTTTACAGTATGGTTTACACTTATGCTTTTTTTCCTTTAATTATCTTGAAAACTATGGAAAGGGAAAGTTTTGCTATTAACATGCCGTAACTTGAGTTTTGGGTTCTTTTTCACTATGGAAGTTAAATTTAAGAATATACTTAGCTTTTATTTTCCCAAACTGTCAGATTTAATATTTTATATTTCACAACTGGACATGTTTTAAACCGTTATACCAAGAGCCCAGGTAAAATGTTCCTTTCTGTTGCCTGTATTTTGTCTAGGAACATAATAATGAGCTGGCTATACATATATCTAGTATGACTACCAGGAATCAAATAAATTTACTTCATGATTAATAAAAAAACGTAAGCTTCCATTTTCACAAGCAGGATTAAAGAAGCAATTTTAGCTTCACCAGAAGCACACAATGGAATATCAAAATATCACCATACCTCTTATGCAACACTCCATATGAAAAAGAAAAGATTTTCATGTGCAAAAAAAGAGAATTTTTTTTTATTGAATCTTACTGTTTTTCTGGGATCGGGCTTTCGTTTGATTATATACAACATTGGAAAGCTTGAAACATTCAACGCAAAACAATTAGATTACTATGAAACTGCCAAAACATTCTGAAAACGTTTTTAATTGACTAAGAGTTTACTTTCTCATAAACTTTATAATACTAATTAAATTACACTATTTTGATATTAAACAGCCTCTTCCTTATCAGGTACTAAGATTGTAAAAACGAGAAAATAATCTGGGAATTTGTCCCAGAAATCAACTTCTAGGATATCATGGGGTTAGTTAATATGTGACTTCATCTGTAGTTAACAATGGATTTTTTAGTATAATAACCATCAAATACTAAAATCCTCACAAAGATTTAAAACTTCACCCAGGCTGCTAGGGCAAGAAAATACAATTGACCACTGCCATCCGTGACATCGATCTGAAAGCAATTAACGCCGAAACATGGCTCTAGTTACAAACCTCCCAGAAAGGATACCCCAGCAGAGAAAACAAAGCTTTGGTAACATCTACACACATCAACTAGGCAGCCTCACCTGAATAGTTCAAATTTGAATCTCAGATTTCTACATGTTATGTATACTCCGAGTTTCAGGCAACAAGCTTTAACACTACAAATTTTAAATTTGTGAAGCACCAAAATAGCATGGGGCTGCTTCTAGCCCAAATAGTACGCAGTGCAAATTACAAACTAAATTAGTACAGGGTCCCTCCAGCATAAAGAGTTCCTCTGTACAATTAGAAAAAGGTGCTCCTATGGGGGTTCTCTCAAGACACAGCTTGGGGAGTAACGTTCAGATGGAATTTTAGCTCCCGTTTTCACCCTGGGCTTGCACTGCACAACAAGTGGTGACACCACATGAGGTACTAAAATTTACCCAGAACATTCCATTAACGGTATTTCTCAAACGGTGATCCTGGGCTACCTGCACCTGCATCACCTACATGAAATGTTCAAAACGCAGCTTCCTGGGTCTCATCAAGAACTAGATCTTTGAGAGCAGAGTTCAAAAACACAATTTTAACATTATGCACATTACAACCCAAGACCGCTCCAAATTCCAACGGCATTTTTTAATGAGATGGAGAAACAAATCACCAACTTCATATGGAAAGGGAAGAGGCCCCGGATGAGTAAAGCTTTACTCAACAACACAGTGGGAGGCCTCAAACTACCTGATTTTAGAACCTATTATACCCCCACAGTAGTCAAAATAGCCTGGTACTGGTACAACAACAGATACATTGACAAATGGAACAGAATTGAGAATCCAGGCATAAATTCATCCACCTATGGGCAGCTGATATTTGACAAAGGCCCAAAGTCCCATTAATTGAGGAAAAGACAGTCTCTTTAACAAATGGTGCTGGCATAACTGGATATCCATCTGCAAAAAATGAAACAAGACCCATACCTCACAC